TCTCTACATCGTATGCCCGCGGACCTTCCAATGGGAAACATTCCAAGTTGAATTGTAAGCCTATCTGGGGATGATGCGCATCAACTATGCCTCAGTTCCGCTTTTGGACACTTGAGCCGACATTATCCTGGTGGCCACGACATGTGGAATCCCGGGAATGCGAAGGAAGCCGAGCATCGTGATTACAACGAAAGTGTCATCGAGGATCCCCTCAAGGGAAAATTTCGATTAACTTCTTCTTCGGAGCCAACGAAATTTTGTTCTGAGGCTGTCCATGCGCTGAAAAAGCATTATGGCAGCTTCAAGAAGATGTGTGGTGAGTATCGAGCGGCGGTCTTAAGCCAACCGCTCCATTTGAAAGTCCCCGAAAAGAGTGGTCGCAAATTTTCATTCCGACCCAAAATGCCCTCCAAACTCCTGTCGTTCAATCTCCCCAAACTGAAAAAACTTTCCTTCAAACGTCGTTGAGTGAAACTTATTCTTCATAGCCTGAGAATGCTCATGCTTCAAGGATTCTCTACAACTGTCTAACGTGATCGATTGGAGGATGGATGTCCGTCGTCCTGCATGATGCTACTGTGTTGTTGAATACGAGTGTCTGGTTGTTGTATCGTAGTTGTCAAAAATCTTAGTGATAGAAACCATGCACTACTACTAGTGACACGTGGGAATTCCGCTTTCGCACCCAGCGCGACTCGACGTATAATCCCCGACTGTTGGGCGAACATCATAGAATGCATGCTGAATGTATACGAAGATGTGAGCTTTCATGATTTCATTGAAGCACAGGAAAAATGGTTAAGTTGCCTCGTATCGTCACTGGCAACCAAAGTCAGCCTGTGATAATCACATGAAACTACCAAAAACAAGTTCAAATGTCTCTGTGGGATTAAAGTCGGCTGTTTGGAGTTTTCCTCGCCGGATTAATGCCGTAATAGTCCTTATTGAGGAGGAAGGCAATGTGCTCCCAACGGTCGCTGCCGAAGAACATGTGTGGTTTGCCGCAAACATGAACGACGATGGTAGGAGCACCAAAGGCATTATATTTCTGAAGTCGGAAGTCTTCGAATCTTCAGCCAACTTGACTGACCTCCAACGCCTCGCTAGTTGTATCAGTGAGCTCCGCTTTACCAATCGTCTTCGCGTCCTCCAACAACCTATTGGTATCCGTCTCGTCGAGGCCGGCGGTCGTGCAAATTCCACGTAAAAACTCGTCATCTAGAGCGACACTTCGGAACTATACCGTAACGGATATACTCCTCACTGATTTGAACTAGATTGTTGTGTGCATCTCTGAGACTCTTATCCTCCCAGACAGCCTTGAAGGCGGAGTCAGTGAGCTTCTCTCGTATGTTCTGGTTTGGTGCGGCCGCTAGTAATCTGGACACGGTCTTATAAGCTCAAGGTTGTCCCCTCTCGAGGAACTCGCCTCTGTATCATGATGATCTGTAGAGCCACTTGAGTGAAGAAGTTCCTCGGCGTACGGAGCATTGGAACATCGAGGATCCGAGCGGACCTCCTACCAGCGGTTTGAACAATAAACGAATAGTGCTTAGCAGCATTCACCGGAGATCTTCCTGCATGAACCTTCCCTTGTTGAGGACCACAGCTGGTGGGCGGTTATTGCTACCCTTCATAATGCCTCCAAGAAATACCGGACGTAATACCACACGGATATCCCATATGGTACCTATGACCACCTAGTAGATGCTTACCGTGCAGCACTGACCCTACTGTATTGCTTTAGTGTCTGCCAGGCGAGGTATGTATATGGAGATATGACGTCGTAGAAGAACTCGAGCTTGGCCCCTTGAGACACCATAGGGCAATGGTCAACACAAGGCTACCGCCACAAGGCACATGGCTACCGCCCAGAGCGACTGTAAAACTACGCTCGAGAACGGCATGGTAAATGTAGTCAACTCAACCAAGCAATGGAGACTATTTTCTGTACTTCGCCTAAGGAAAACTTGCTAAGTATCCGATCGCCTAGCCAATACCAGAATTCGTATACATTCTGTAACTCAAAGCTAGGCTGTTCATGAGGGCACCCCAACACGATAGCATCAGATGAACCAACACTTGACATGATGCACGGAACATGCGCTTAATATACAACAGAAGAGAATGAGAAATATGAGTGATTGAGGAATACTAATACGCCTTGCATGACATTGCCAGACCAAAGAGCATGTGCACTGCGACCTGATGGAATTGGTATGTTGCCGAGGAACAGCACATAACAATGTCATAACAATCTGTACTCGATGGTCAGGCGAGTTGAATCAGCCTAGTTTGCTCTGGATCATACTACTCACGACTCGTGAGTGGATACACATACGACAAATACGGAGACCAAACTTCCACTCGAGAGTTGCGAGTGAAAGTTTGGCCTCCGTATTCCGTTGGAGTACGACCTAATAGCTTCTCTCTAGAATGGGGTGTCGATATCAACGACTTCACTGTGTAGTACCATACCAGAAGAGAACAGGACTATGTTGTTCCGGAGGGAATCGTCTATGTCAAAACTAAACAGTTTGCGTAACCTGGGCCTATCGGGTGTTGCATTGCCTCGAGGTCTGACGTACTGAATCTTCAGGCTTCTCCCATGCACAGGGATCAAGTATTGAAGTTGACACTCCATGAGGCGCAATAGAGTTCACTCCGACTGACCGAACGCCGCCGTCCTAGCCAATCAGACAGTCTTCTTCTTCTCCTTGTACATCTTGGTCACGGCACGACCATTGATGACCTTCTGCCGCCAAAAGAAAACCTATAGCTAGAATAACTTCATTATACATCCGTGAAGATCCTTCTCGTTGTCTTCAAGAGCCTTCCAGTGCCTCCGACAGGCTCCGATCTCTCATGACCGTATTTCCGAATGGAGGCCAAGGCAAACCTCTCTTGCGAATCTCTTCAGTCATCAATCATACAGTCGAATTCAAATATTTGAGACTAAGTACTATAGAGCGAGCGAAATTGCTAATGAGTGGGTATTGAGCTTTTCTGATGGCTCAGCTCAGCGTGGGCCACCAACGTCCTAGTCAACTTCTAAACCCGCGCGATTGAGCTGCATTGCTGACCACCACCTTGGAGAGTCCCATGAACCAGATGACGGTCGCGAATTCTCGTCCGCGCCTGCTAGTGTACACGATGTCTTGCTGATCAACAACAAGCCCAGACGACTCGTCAACAACACAACTCCGACGAGGAGTGGTAAGAAACAGGAAAACGTTGAAGAGGGATATGATGCACAGTCGCGAGAGAATGACAAACAGAGATCAGAGCCACGATCCAATGGAGCTGTTCTCTTTGATCTCCCTTTGGTTCTGTCGAGCTTCCCGAGACTTCTGTACATTTGGCTTGGCCTTATTCTTCGACCGCAGTTGTCGATTTACCTACTATACGATACCACAACCGACTCACCAAACAATGCGGTAATTACTTTCGCCCGAACGTCCTTATCCTGGGGTTTTCGCCTTTGCTTCCGTAGAACATGATTCTGGCTTTTGATCACCCGTCGCTTTTCTTCTCTATCCTCCCACTCCGATGCCGTAGACTGAGCCAAGACGAGGTGTTTTGCAAGTAATCGAGTAATACGCCGCTCACCTCCGGACCATCACTAACAGCTCCTTCACCATCAACATCTACAGTTGGGGAGCTTTTGGGATCTGCCTCCAACCCAGCCAGGAGATCTTCAAGGGTGTCGTCTCCCTCGGTGAGGTCAGGACACTCCTCTTGGTCGAGACCCGCGAATGCCTAGAACAAACAAAGTCCACAAGAAGTATCGAAGGTGTGGTATGTACTGCGCAGCTATCCATAAGCAGCTTATCTTCTCCTTCGGTGATGACACTAGCAAGGTTTATGCCCTCCACCTTGGTCTTGGCTCGGTAAACAGGCAAAACGTCCTCCTCGAAAGACGGTACTGTATCCACCATATATTTGTGGTTTTTGGCGAAGTAGGTCGCGATGCATTCGACATCTCTAATCCAAGGAAAGGGCTCATACAGGGCCTTGAATGAATCCTATAATACCTTTCAAAGATACGTTTAGCGTCGGGATTTTCGACAGAAAGGACTTGAGGGAAATCGATGACGTAGACCTCGTAGTCTTCTACCTCACTAGACTCATCGAGAGGATTTACTCGTCTGAAAAGGAATCAATGACTGCAATGGAGCTGACGACTATCATACACTGTCCGTATTAAGAGATTGAACTCGTTGAAGTCACCATGAATGACACCGCTTTGAGCTATACTGAGGAGCAGGGACCTGAAGCCAGAAGTCATTCAGCCTTGGATACGACAAGCTCATATCATGCCGACTCCGAACACTGTTATAAGAAGGCTTTATTCCTTAGTACATGCATCGTTCGAGAAGTATCTCTGGCTTTTCCAGCTTCCTTATTTGACACATGGGAGTGGCGTCATCGAGGTACTCCATCACAATAGCATGTCTATTGCTACCAACAGGCTCTGGTACCTTCACGCAAGAACTCTTCTAATGCTACACTCAGTAAGTAAGGCTCACAGGGAAGCCGGCGTTGTAAAGCTCAGTGAGGTAGGCGTACTCCTTAGCAGCTGCTAGACGAGCCAAGTACATCCTAAGGAGATCCAACATAGTAGAGGAACCCTTTAGGTTCGGCTTACCAGCTTGCAGACTGCCGATGCTGTAGGTAGTCTCTGTTCTCTTTTACTGTCTTGAAGGACACTCTACCCAAACGGTGGAACTTGATAACAAGTTGTCGACCTGCAACCAACAGAGTTTCCCACTAACCTCAGTTCCCCTTGCTAGGACCTTCATCGTCAGTGCAAACGTGTATATCACTCTCCTTCCCAACGCCTACCCTCTGTCCAACTCCAGCGATGTTGCCACGAGACATCAAAGTCCTGATGCAGCAATAACCTCTAGGAAAAGTGAAAAGGCTTCCCTACCTGAGGGCGAGAAAGTCGTAGCCGTTGTAAGTGAGCTTGTAGCCATCGTAGGTCTTCCCGTCGTGTGCCACCAACTTGTGCTTGAGTAGATTCTGCAGAGTCTTGAAGCAACCTGATTGGCCATAAAAGCCGACTAACTAGGTGAGAGTCGTACCTCCACGCTTAAGCCCAGCAATACTCTCCACCAACTGCAACGGGACCAGCTCGTGGTTCTTATGGCCGACCTCGAGAGCCTGAGGCAACGCAAGGATGAGGAACTCATTATGGTGCGCCGTAGCAAGTCATTACCTGTAGGACTCGCAAGTCCTCCTTGCTGAGGTAGCGGAAGATCTCACAGTCTAAACGCATGAAGGTAAAGGCTACTGAGGCTCGTCAACGTAATCAACAGGCAACAGTTAACACAATACGTAGAAGTGGGAGAAGCACTGTCAGCAACAGACGACATGTTAGTCATCATACTCATCCCTTAAGGACAAGACGCCTGGTTGTAGCTACTCATGCATGCCAAGGCCAGTGCTACTGCACTCATCTTCAGTAAAGCAGTCGTCTAGATCGGCAATAGATGTATGGTAATGCGGCTGATAACGTATAGTACGAGACTGCCTCCGAAGGTTGCAGTCAGCCTCCGACGAGGACTACTAGATGCCTCCCTACCCCCAACTACCACAACTCGGCTCTCCGCGGCGCATTATCCAATACAGACACATCCAGTTTGGAATACACCTAAGCTGCAATCAGGAGCAAACGAGCCTGATCATGCTCAGCTGCTATCATCGAGTTGTCCCTCCAAACCACGGCAGTACCAAGACCGTATCACATGTTCTCAACTGTCTCGACTAGAGGCGTTTCCGCTACAGTCTAACTGAGTACTGCTAAGTGCAATCATAAAAGTCTCCATTGTCTTTAGGTTCCCTGGTGTGAGTCCAAGGCCCTGCAGGTGGATCCAGCTACAGATAGAGCGCTCATTCAGCTTGACTAATGCCGGATGCATAACGGACTTCTCATATCTTGTAAAACCTGTAGGGCTCTCCACTCACATCCTTTTATGACCAACCCAAACTACCATAAACGCTAACGATGCCATATGCCTGTGGGGAAGTATATAGCCGTAGGTTAGCAGCAACTACGGGCCTCGACAAGTCCACCACTCGTTGTAACCTCCCTGACACGCCTCTTTATACAGGCCAATAACCGCATCAGCATTTTACATCCACCAAGACTTCCCACATGGATGAATCAAGGAATGTCCGTCGAGTATTGCTGAAGTCCAGCTCGCTTCCTGCCTCCTCGCCTATGCTTCAAGCTGGACCTATTGTGAATCTTCTATAAACCCTCCTTCCACTCGAGACAGCTCGTCCTCGTCCAATGGACGGACGATCCACACGACGGTCAGCTGAGAGGCTCCGAGGCAGAGTATGGCCACTACTCGCATTCTCTGTCTAGTGGGCCGTTGAGGATGGGCCACGCTATTTTAGCCTTACCCACGTAGTGTATCTGAGGAAATTCTCGAGGACCTCTGGTCCCAGTGGCAAGCTGGTGACAGGCAGCTGAGGAGAGAATTCAATGACGTACAGTATTGAAATTTGACGAAAGCACATAAATGCACAATATGCATCATTCGGACAGCGGAGCGATGCGCCGTCTTGACTTGCAACAATGGCTTAGGGCAGCAGAACACTATCGAAACGCTTACTGTAGGATATCAGACTCCGGCTGCTGTTTCCTCGACTGATGTATTCATGAACAGCGAGTAGGACGACAGGATATTGTCACCACCTCATTGAGGGGTCTTTTATTTCACTGCACTGGGCAAGTATGTTATTGTGTTTTATCGTTATCAATAGAGGACCATTTGATAGTGCAGTGAGATGCCTCGCACAGACACAGTTATCACGCTAGTTACTATAAACTCCCAGGCCTGCCCATCGGAAATCATTCAAGTTGAATGATCCCACATACTGATGAACCTCAATGCTGTAACTGGAAGCTCAGCCTTTTGGAGGATTGCATTTTTGAAATCATCGCGAACCCCACCTTCTACCGCTCCGAGAGAGCCATCCCTCCATCTCTCACCGAGCAGAGCTGTGTTGTCAATTCTGCTCGGCCGATTGCTCGAGATAGGGAATTACCTACCTCGCGAGGGTCACGGACAGGCTCATCTTTTCCTTTTCGATTAACCGTTAGCATAATCGACCTACACCTTTTAAACATCTAGTTCGTCTTTGGAACCATCAATTTCGTCGGGACGCGCGAAGTTGGAGGTACGAATCCGAAACGGGAAGATCATATTCGCAATTAGAACTTTCAACTTCGTCATAGAACTTTCAAGTTCGTCCAAAGTCAATAGGAAGTTCAAATTCGTTCTAATAGAACTTCCAATTTCGACTCTCGAACCTTCGAGTTCGTCATAGAACTTTCAACTTCGTCGAGTACACCTTTGGAACTTCAATTTCGTCCCTTTAGGAAAATCGACTTCGTCGTTCGGAACTTCAATTTCGTGTTTGCGGGACAATCATGCCAGTACTCTCATGGTGAGGCTTATGATTAGTGCTCGCGGTACACAACCGAAGTAGTATTACAGCAACAACGAAGGCACTATCGAAAATCCTCATATCAATGTCATGTCACATGAATAGTGCGGCCAGCCAGTAGCTGGCAGCCACTCATATGACTGGCTCGATCAAGAAAGCGACAAAGTCAACCACCGGCAGGCATGTATTCGTGGTTAATTGCTTTACTCAACAACCCAATAGCATGCCCGCAGAAGCGAGCTGTGACAGCGGAACGATGCCTCCTCGCCATGTTCTCGAGCCATGTGCGCGCGGTCAGGAGATATGACGGGGTGAGCGGGAGCAGCGGCCGCATGGATGGGTGTCGCAGAGGCTTGGTTCTGCATGATGCCCACGGACGAGTGGCACGATCAGCAAAACACGAGCCTCATCGTAAGAGTACTGGCATAATTGCCCCGCAAACACGAAATTGAAGTTCCGAACGACGAAGTCGATTTTCCTAAAGGGACGAAATTGAAGTTCCAAAGGTGTACTCGACGAAGTTGAAAGTTCTATGACGAACTCGAAGGTTCGAGAGTCGAAATTGAAAGTTCTATTAGAACGAATTTGAACTTCCCATTGACTTTGGACGAACTTGAAAGTTCTATGACGAAGTTGAAAGTTCTAATTGCGAATATGATCTTCCCGTTTTGGATTCGTACCTCCAACTTCGCGCGTCGCGACGAAATTGATGGTTCCAAAGACGAACTAGATGTTTAAAAGGTGTAGTTAATCGTCTCGAAGAGTGAATGGCAACAGCAGCGTACATTGGACTCAAGGCGGCAGGACGCCAGCATGCCTCTGCAGGTCGTTTACAAGCCCACGATCGACACGTTAAAGAACGACAACGTATATTATCGGTGAGAATGACTGGGCGAATCCTCGATTTACTCGATACCACTATTACACTACCCGATGCAAGCTCAGTGTAAAAGCAAAGAATATCGCCTCTCAAACTCAGCTGGTTTGTTCGAAGAGCCTATGGTTGGGCTCCAGTGTCGAGACACATCATAGACTAGACTCGGAGAATTTGAGTCTATGCAGATATTCAAGAAGTATGATACGGACAATAACCGGCAACTTGAGCGAGACCAGCTAGCTCTACTGCTACGAGATTATAATGGTGGCGAAGAGCCTGATGTCGACGAGGTATACCAAAGGACGCCTTCCAAAGTAGCCTGTGGCACTCTAGAGACAGGTGGAATTCATCATGAAAGTTGCTGATACAGACGGTACAGAGGCTATAGGGCAAGAAGAAGTTCTCTACGCGTTGAAGGTCTGGAATACGTGAGAGAGATCCTTTCGTTGTGCTCGGCGAGAGCTCTCAGGTACCGCCATGCAAAAGGACAGATCAGGGAGTACTTCAATAAGTACGATTTGTCGCGCGATGGTTGCTTGGACCGTGATGAATTGAAGTTGTTCCTGGTGGATCTCAACGACGGCTTTAAGGCGAGGACGGCCACGCCCGCAGTGGTTAAGGCAGCCTAGCGAGAGACCGCTGCCCTTTGCAGGTCAGCAACGAGGAGGTTGATTGGGTCTTCACCAAAGCTGATGTGCTCGGACACGGCAAGATACATGAAGTGGAGTTCTTGTCCGCAGTCAGCGCCTGGTGGGTCAGATCTCCGAGTGGGCCGACACACATTGTCTAGGTATGCTAACGTTGAAGATAAAGAGGACGAGAGATGCTGTCGCATCGTCTGACTTATCCGATTAGTGCTACTCACTGTCCACATGCCCTGGCTTGTCATTATTCACCTCGTTGGTGTTGGCTGGATCAATTGACCCCTAAAGAGTTGTTCTAGTTTTCTGCCACATGTCTACTTCGATCGTAGGTTGTTAGTTGTTGATGCTACATCAACATCATCAACTAGAGTTGGGAAAATGGAGGAGCTCTTACTCACGGCAACGAAGCGGGAACCTGTATTCGAGCCAACCTTGCTTATCCAGTCAACTTTGATCGTCCATTCGGATCCCCGCCATGGAAAAACTCTGTTCGGAATTGGTTGTTGACAATAAGGTGTCTGTGCATGTGGTCCTATGCAACACGAGCTCATCCTATGTGCGCCTGATATGGTAGCCATACTGACCACGCTCAAGGGAACTACTGCACGAGCGAATTTGCGTCCAAGGGCGATTAACGAGTTTGCTGAGATGCGGTGTGCTCACAGATAATACATACCTCTTGCTAGAGAAGCACGTCATGAGACGATAACCGTTCGGTGCGATATCGACCCACCGTAATGGTGATTAGCACATCGGTCGTTACACAGGGTCGTGGCCAGAGACCGTGGTGCATGAACTAAACACAACACTCGGTTGAAGAATAGTTGGCCAACATAGAAAGGCCGAAGCTACGAACGCCTATAAATGAAATTCGAATTGTACTCAACTTGTCTATCGCAGTAAAGATCAACGGGGGCTCCCACCACCAAGGGCATCTTCCGAGTGTCTGTTAAAACTGCATCAGGATATCGCACAGAGCGCATGCCGCACAAGCACCTAAGGAACACAGTTCGCCAATAGAGACACTTTGTGTGGGTGTACCAAGCATCCCCGCACAGCAGGCGAGGCCGGCATCGCCATTGTCATAACGACGCCGATCGTCCGACTCGTGGATGATGATAGTTTGCTTAGGTGGTTGCTGGTAATTCACTGGTTGGGAGTACCTACACAGTAGACCCTCCGTTGAGAAACTGTGTGATAGAAAGAATGGCGAGTCACGGATTCAACGGAAAAGGAAAACGGACGGGATCCTTATAATGTCTGTTACCCTGATGTGGACTGATAAGAACCAGCATATGATGCTGATGGTATTTGAACTTGAAAAACTTCACCAGGACCGACTCCATAGGGCACCTGTACCTACAACACACACTACTACTACAGGTTGTAATCCCAAGGGGATAAGCCAACCTGGAGGGGAGCTCCAGTTTGAGGATTTGTGATTTGTAAGGTGGTACCGCTAGTAGCACCAGGAGGGACCTGGACCTGACCACACCGACAATTCAACGGCTGCCTACTGCAAAGCCCTACAGAAATGATACCGCCTCCTCCGCCTCCAGTTTGATTCCCTCCTTGGTAAGGATTATAAGCTGGTGGTGCCGATGCGGACATACAACTGAATAACAAAGTCACTTGTCATTGAGTAGGCAACACTAGACCAATGTTGGGGCATATGAGAAACACCTTATTGCACACTGGAGGAACAACGCATAGCGTAAACACTTTAGCTCAGTAGAATAGGCATATACAAAATCCCTTTGCCGAACTATATAAGAGGGTGAACGATGGAGACAAGACGCCTCCAGAGTTTGTCTTTGCAAATCTGGTGAAATTGGCTGCTGCTCATCCGATGGCCTCACCAAGGAGGCAACATGACAGCATAGCTGAGGAGGAATAAAGGTGTACGCCAAATAGCAACGATAAGGTGTGGCTTACTAGAGAGACAGAGACAACAACTAGCAGCTGATGCTGCAGCCTGGGCATTATCGTCCGACTGTGGGCGACCACTATCCGTGATAATGACTGTCTGGTGAGGAGGATGTTGATATCTGATAAACTACTCCTATATTGATATCTGGTTAAATATAGGTGTTTACGAGTTCCCATAAGAATCATAGCCGCCGTATCCACTGTCGTAAGGTTGAGCTGTCACTACTGTTGGTGAAACCTGAAATACTCCAGACTAGTCACTGAACTGACTATGTCCAGACCAATCGCTATCACTACTACTACTACTACTACTACTACTACTACTACTACTACTACTACTACTACTACTACTACTACTACTACTACTACTACTACTACTACTACTACTACTACTACTACTACTACTACTACTACTACTACTACTACTCCTACTACTACTACTACTACTACTACTCCTACTACTACTACTACTACTACTACTACTACTACTACTACTACTACTACTACTACTACTACTACTACTCCTACTACTACCACTACCACTACCGTTATTACCTCAACGTTGAACGTATCACCAGGTTTAAGGCCAGCCGGCACCTGTACCTGCATTGGTCTGCCTGTAGCAGGATCAGTGATCTGCAGAGTGCTACCACCAGTAGCACCTTGGGGGACCTGGACTGTTAGAATTGCCATAATAAAGATCAACTAAATCTGAACAAAACCATTTCATGAAGTAGCACACCATTTCGAGGCAGGAAGACCAACACGCAAGCTCAACAACAGTTCGCTTTGGACAGATTCGATACCAACTGGTCGGAAAAGAAAGAGCACGCATATGCGCCTGAACAGTCCTCAGTGAGGACAGTGCTACTTTGATAAATAATTATTCTATAATAGTGATGTAATTGGCACTGTTACGGTATGACAGCAGTGGAATAAAGCTGAGTGAACCTAGCCACATGCTTCACCGAGGGCACAGCATGCTAGTAAACCTAAGACGTGAAGTTAAGCTACAATCCATAGAGTGCCATCCTTAGTACTTGCACACCATGCACAGCAGGCGACTGAGCCAGCAGCATTAGCGGCGCTCGGGCTCTGAGCAGGACCACTGTTGATGATCACCGTCTGGGGAGGGGCTTGGGTCGAATGATGTCTGAGGGACAGGCACGTGAGGTGATGATATACAGGAGTTGTCACTACGGGCCACCGTAGGCTTGATCAGGGTCACCACCTACGGGCTTGCCCTGGACAATAGTTGGCCCGAGCTGAAAAGAGATAATAAGATACACAGTAGGAGGAGACGTAGTACATCGACATTGAAGGTATCCCCTGGGTTGAGGCCGGCAGGGACCTGTACCTGGAAAGGTCTGCCAGAGGTGGGATCGATGATCTGGATGGTACTGCCACCAGTAGCACCTTGGGGGACTTGGACCGACACTGTTAACATAGGAACAGGGGAGGAACTAAACTGCCCGTATAAGTGCCGATTTATATATGTCCACAATTGAACTGAACTACTGCATACACCTGAGAGGTCTGGCTCGACCAGGGTCCCGGGAATGATCGAATAATTTGATGCTATGGGAGCACGCTTCAGCAGCATGCGTATGTGATAAATAATATGACGAGGGATATCGATATGAAAGCATGGCCAGGAGTTCCCTGATGTCGTGAGTTGTATCATCCTTGATGCTCCTCCCACAGTGGCCGATCACAGAGCTAGGTTGACGTACCATCGTCACTCCCTCCACACAAACTACTTCTCAAATTTAAATGGGTGTACGCCGGTTTGGTCTGCATTGCCCGATATACAATGTACTGAGCTCAGCTCGACGAACACTATGTAAAAGGAACCCCCTTTCGAAGCTGGTGGCTGTAGGAGGAAGCACCAAGGCGTAGGAGGAGGCAAGAATACCCCATTCGAACCATTTCACGTCCCCAACCTACCCGGTGTTGGGCTGGTCCTTCTCATCGGGCTCTGGGAACCTAAAGATGATATTGACATAATAAGAGCATTACTGGGGCGTTGTCGGATGGCTATGCTTCGGCGAACACTGTGTAAGCCTTACAAAATCCGATGAGGAGCATCCTCCACCGTTGTGAGTCACGACGATTAAATGCGTGAAGTTTAACAGTTACCGGAATATTTTACCCACTCTTAATCGCTCTGAACCTGAGGTGGTCGATTTTGGGAATATGATGGTGGTGGTCGATTCATAGACACATGATGGCTTAGGCGAGCTTCTTCTCCAGTAGACTCTCTAGCACTAGTCCATGGGGACTGAGAGCAACTTGACGATGTATGAATACGTTACTGGCGACTGTAATCATTATGAGAGTTTGTAACATAATCAGCAGATTTGTTTCTGTTTTGATGGTATTTAACGGTTACTGATCCCTCCTAGCGGCCACATAGTCACTTTACTGGCCCTAGCGCTGGGAAGGATATTCTGCAACCGTATGACCCGTTCTAAAGGAGAAAGTGCGCTGCCGTGATGCTCCGTGCATAACACGGACAAATACCACATGCCGTGGATGCCGTGGATGCCACAGCACAGCACAGCACAATGCATTGTTCCTCCTCCATATGTGCAACCTCTAATATTAGAGGTTTGTCGTGGATGGAGGAACATATGTCTCTGAGTGACTGCTCCCAAAGGAGGCCAATATAAGGCCTGCATGCAACGTCATCAACTGCGAGGTGTTCTTCAAGGACGATCTGTCGGATTGGGATGTAGTGCAGAAGCTCGTGAAGGAAGAGGTGAGTGGAAGTGGCCAAGTTACGGTATGAAAATTGTTGCTCTTTAGCTGCTATTCTTTGTTTCTCGCGTTTCTCGGCCGTACCCGATGTGAAGTCAGACTTCAGGAGTCGCGTGGTTGGAAAATGGTCGATGTAGATATGGCTGTAAACGTCTTCACCTGTTGAGGACTGCAAAGAGTTGTACGACAAGATTGACGAGGTAAGGAACACTGGGTGTTTACCACAATCTACAATCCAATTTAGACTTAATAATTTGTATACTGTTTCTTCGGAGCTCATCAATGAGTTGCCCAGTGATAAGCCTTTATGGCGAGTCCATCTCCTGCCAGCAGCCGAGGAAGCTGGGCAGAAGAACTGTGTTGTGTTCCGATGCCATCACACGATGGCTGACGGCCTCACTCTGGTACGTCATATAGAATTCGAGACGTAGCGAGGGCATTTGGGTAGGTTCAACTGTTGCACAGATGGCCACTACCCCGGATGGGAAGCCGACTACTTTCGTCATTTACAAGGCTGAGGAGCCAATGAAGGTTGGCCCTGTTGAAAAGGTCTTCATCGGCGGAATGGGTAGCATAGTTTTAGATGCGGCTCTTGTTGTTTGTTGGCGTTTGTTGTTCCCTGCTCTAATTAGATTTCTATTATGTTGGTTGTTTTCATGACGATTTCTACTGCTGATCTAGGTTCATGTTCATGTTGTTGTAAAGCTGGTTTTCTCGTTCGTTCGAGAGGAGGGCGGATAGGAGGTCTGATTGGTTCAAGTCTCATGCGATTCACCCTAGTCCCTCGAGTTGTGCCCATTTTTATGCGCGGATTGGGATATTGGTTTCTACGCTAGATGGGGTGTTTGAGTTGCATCTAGTTCGGATGTAGAACATAGTGAAGGGAAATGTTGAAGGTCGTTGAGGTCCTTGTAGTGTCTTCAAAATACTGTGCTGATCAGCTGAGGCCAATCTGATGGTCTGCTGTGTGGAGTTGCCCTGAAATAGTACTTGAGAGGAAGAGGTAAGGTTTTTGTATTGAAAATGGTTGTTGGGTTGTTTATTTGAAAATTAGATATTTTGGTTATGTATTTTAGTGTTAAACCTCCAGTGCAGGTTGATGTTACATTGTGGTATACTATTTTATAGCGTGTTTTTGGTGATAGTCTATTGATGGTCTACGAGGGAGAAAAGTTTCCTCAGAAAACGTAAGAATCGATCAATCGAATGTTCCATCTTACCATGATTACTCTACCTTGTGAAGCTGCGCTAATTGCATAGGGCTAACGTATCCACTCCTTCTAGCGTATGGGGACAGGCTTGTGTCGTTGGCCGACCGAGTGGGACAGTATTATGAGTGATTGCGCCTTGGTAGGGAATCTAGAATCCTTGGCTCTAGCTAGTACTCCTCATTGGATGAGCCTTCGTAGTGAATGTAGCATGCGTAGTACTCGCTAGTATTTCCGTGGGGTGAGGCTTTGTAGTTAGTCTAACACCAGTTGTACTAGCTGGTACTCCTATCAACTGGGGCTCCGTAGTGAGTTCAAAGTTCTTCGTATTGGATAGTATATCTGTTGTCAAGGCCTCGTAGTGAACTTAATATTATCGTCGCTTGACGACACGCTCATGACCAGCACATTGTTTCCTTTATAATGTTTGTCGACAGCTACTCGTATCTTATTGCCGCCACTATCGTTACTCTAGCAGCAGCTCTGGTCGGGAAGGTACTCTTTATGGCCTTCGTTGGTGTCAGCAAGAAAAGTGAGCTCAGCAGTTCCTGTTGATCAGTAGAAATTATGAGTTCAGGTTCGGGACCTCGGCCCATGACGTGGATGGAAGAGCATATGTTCCTCGCGGACTGTTTTCCTAAGGAGGCCAACCTCCCAGCGACCTGCAATGTGATCAACTGCGCTGTTCTTTTCAAAGATAAAATGCCGGACAGAGAAAGCATAGACAAGCTAGTGAGGGAAAAGGTGATGAGCTCTTGTGCAATCTGTCTGTCCTTGGTTGAGCCTTTTTCGTTCAGTTGTTATCATTTACGCGTTTCTCGTGCGTTCCTGATGTGAAGACTCACAGCTGGAAACCTGTCGACATTGATCTCTCGCAGCATGTACTCACCAGCGAGCCGATAAAGAGCCGTGCTGCGCTGGATGATAAAATCGAGGAGGTAAAGTGAACGCAAGGCCTCGTCAAAATGATGAGCATGTCGATCAGATAATTAACGTACCACTGCCCACTGATAAGCCTTTATGGCAAATTCATCTGCTACCAGCGGCTGAGGGAGCTGAGCAGAAGGACTGTGTGCTTTTCCGCTCTCATCACACTATAGGGGACGGCATCAGTTTGGTAGGCACTGCCGGAGAGTACCTTGTATGGAAGTTGTATGCATTATGTGTTCAGATCCAGTTGTTGGACGCTGTTGCTGTTTCTCGTGATGGAGGCCCTATTACTTACGTGAACCCTAAGGAGAAGAAGCCTATTAAAATGTCTTTTTTGACTAAGTTGGTTTATGGAGTTCTATTCTCTCTAGAATGGGTAAGTACAGGGAAGCACCTCCTGTGGAAGAGAGAGCTTCTGGTGTTAGGTTCGGTCGTTGATCGCCAATGTGTTGCAGACGAAGAGTTGCTTTGAGTCGGAGTATGGTTTCAACTCATCATTAGCCCATCGTAAAGGTGGTCTGACCTACAGTGGAGCGCGGAAGTCCATCTGTCTCAAGCCCTTCTCCCTCGACTATGTGAAGGCTATCAAGAATAGATCGCCCAAGAAGGTAGGCTTAGTGGCGCCTTTGTGTAGAGACTGCTCTACTTGTGTTTGTTTAGACTACTGTTAACGATGTGTTGTTGGGTGCTATGGTTGGCGCTATGAGGAGGTATGGTGGATCTGCTGTTGATAACAATACCGTTATGAGGATGCTCGTACCAGTTGGGGCTCCACTCGAGTTTGGTCCCAATCCCCCGCCTGAGGGTGATAGGCTTGGCAATAATTTTTCTTTTTGCAGTGTTGATCTGAGCGAGGTGAGTTTGTTACCTTTGGGTATTTTCTATCGACTCTTATTATTTCAGGCTATCCGATCGAAGGATTCGATCTCGCGTATGTTAGCAAGTAGTCGCCCTATGAACCACCTGAAGAAGTCGCTAGAGTTCCTCACCTCGATGTTCATCACCAACACTATCCTTCCTCTTATGCCTAAGTTTGTCCCCCAGGGGTCTAGCATGGACCTGTTTTCTCGCCATTCAATTGTCTTCTCGAATGTGCCTGGGATGCAGACGCCATGTTGTTTCGCTGGGAAGGAGGTAGAGTCTATCTACCCCATTTTCCTGAACATCATTACTCAGGTGAGTGCCGCATTGAAATTTTCGGAGAGTCTTTATTATTGCTTGCTTTCTAGGTGATCGTCCTTTCGTACAACCGAAAGTTGATGTTCAACATTACTCTCGACCCCAATGTGGTGAAAGATTATGATAAATTTGAAGGCTACTACCGAGACGAGCTATTGGACATGGGCGAGCGTCTTGGTGTCACCGATGTTCAACTTTAAAACTTGACTGATTTGTTTACTGTTTAGCAGCATGGTTACTTGGTCAACTGTTTCCTCATCGAGGGTTTTATGCTGGGTGAATTTTTGTTCCTGTTTGGGGCTCGTTATGGCATGTGCAAAGTTGTTTGCCTGGAGTCCTTTGCTCAATATTATACAATTGGAACACTTGAGCTAAGTTGTCCGTTCGCTTTCAACGGGAGGAGCCTCGTCTGTTTGCCATCCATACCGGTCAATGCTCTGATCCTCAAACAACAGATCATGGAACCATTGCTGCTAGGGTTGTATATCAACGTTTTGTCTCTTAAAACAAAAGTTTGTAGATTCCTGATCAGCTCCGAGTTGTTAAATCACGGAGTGTTTCTGATGACGATTCATTATTCAGTGCTAGAGTTTAGTCGAGTGATTTTCGAACACAAGCTGCAAATGATGCACAGCATGGGATCTACGGTGGTATAACTCATTTAAAGCATCGTCCGATGTAGTCTAGCTGGTTAGGATTCGTGGCTCTCACCCACGCGACCGGGGTTCGAGTCCCCGCATCGGAACTTTTTCCGTGCATTTTGTCACCGCTAGTAAGCGTTTTCCTTTTTAGTTACTCGATTATCGTTGTGTTCTTCGATCCAGTCGAGTTGTTTGTTAGCAGACCTCGATAGCATGTTACAGCTGTCTTGCTTGTCTCGGAACTGGATCTCATATTGATCCTTCACCATTCTTCCTTCAATCTGAGACTTGCAGATATTGGCATAACTAGTAATTCCTTGTCTCTGGATTCTGGCTCTCCCATAGAAGCGCCTGTTGATCCCCGATAGAATGAGCCTCACACTGTGAAGTGATGCTCAGTCCGCGAGATTACATCCTCTGAAAATGTCTCAACGGTGACGGTTTCGGGTACACCTCTGGTATGGAGGGAGGTTGTCCACATTCCAATGTCAGTTGTCTTGTGTTTTGTCTCGGGAGTGATGGCTGCCACCAAGGGCTCCACTATTACTCCGAGGAGCGGGAAGAAGAGTGGCATACTGCGTCTTTTCTTGGCGGCTATCGGCACCTACGCCTTGGTCAGTGTTATGACGATGAGCGCCGATTTGGCATTCTCTATTGGGAGCGGTCGACAGACCTCGAGTGCCAAGTTCTTGTCGAGCAAACGTAATAAACTCAAGTAGAATTTCCGCTTTCACTTATTCATTTTTATTGAATCCCTACCTGTTATAAACGGCCCTCCACTGTAGGTTCGGCATCACCATCACGAACAGTATTCCGTAGCTGTCGTCCGAGCGCCCTCGGCGTTACTCCTGGCGCCAACCCTGTGCCCTCGCTGCTCGGTCATCGGAGAGTCGGTGCAGGGTACAAAATAACGATGCAAACTCCCGATGGTGACAAGGTGTTCGATTGCGATGAAGACACGTAGTGTGGGGAGATATGGTGGCCTCATTAGGGAAGTGAATGGCGTTTGCAGGTACATCCTCGATGCCGCTGAAGATGCAGGGATCTTCGACCTCCCCTACAGCTGTCGGGCGGGAGCATGTGCTGCCTGCGCTGGACAGGTCCTGGAGGGCTCTGTGGACCAAGAGGACCAGGCCTTCTTGGAACAAGGCCAGATGGTAGTTGGATGGGGGGTCCTTCACTGTATTGATATGTCGTGGTCAGGATAAGGGGTACTGTCTCACTTGCGTGGCCTATCCTCAAAGCGACGTGACCATCCGCAGTAATTGTGAGAGCGAGGTGGCTTAGAGGTGGCTCGACTGGATTTGTACCTTTTAACCGAACATAGAAGTGTCTGTTCTCCCCTTGTTGCGTTTACTAAACTCAAGGGTTCTGCTAGTTGGTTTCCCCCCTCTCTTATGTCGAGGCTTCCTCCGGTCAAGGCAGATGGCTGGATGAACTATCGGATATAGAGACTTGCAGGGTGATATCGAAGGTTCGAGCTCGGGGGTATCTCAATACTACATCATATTTAATCTATATATTTTTCCCCCTTGAGCAGCACCCCTTTCACCAAGCAGATTGGCAGTATAGGAGTATAGCTGCGAACTTAGCAGCACCGAAAAGAGCGGCCAAACTCTGGTATATGCACTGAAGTATGGCTCGATCAGTTCAGCTGGATAGAATCTACATATTGCAGGGATATAACACCCTTATCTTCATAGTTAGCCTAGGCCTATATTCTGAACTGTATCGAGATTAAGTACTAGTGGTTCTACTACTGCCTGTTGAAGTCACAATGACAATATAGGAGTTCACCAAATTGTGGTAGGGAATTGGTATTGTCAGTTTTGGCGTTAGGAAGTACAGGGAGTACTCAGTAAAGAGAGCTATCGAGTGGAGGCAGCTGAGGGGGACTATAATATTAGGTCGGGTATGGGCGGCCAGATGGAATAGGTTGTTGGGGAGGGCGTTAAGGCGGACCTGGACAAACTGCGTAATGTGGTGAACTCCCTGGCAAAAGGCTGGTCTCGGAGGAGGCGGAGGCAGCGGAGGAGGACTATCTGAAAGCGGGAGGGTTGGCGGCAGGGGGGAGGAGTTGTAATGACCATTTTCATGTTGACTTGGATGCACTGTGCCATGTTGTTGTGTTATGGCCGCTTTTAGTAGGATGCTTTTATCAGAATTATTATCATCATCGTAGAACATGTCGGACTCGTACTACGACAGCGATCTGGTCTGTGAGTACTGTTCGACCAACTTCGACCTTCAGAATCATATCCCGAAGGTGAGAGAAAATCTTCGCTGTGCGTAAAGATATGTTTCTATTTCAGCTTTTGGGGGTGTGCGGACACAATCTATGTGCTGAGTGCATTGCCTCGCTGGAAGGAGCTCGGGGATTCGGCCGCTTCATGTGCCCTTTCTGTCGGCAGCCGCATCGGCCCGGCGAAATCAGCGTGAATCCTGTGATAATGAATTTGCTTCGCTCCGCTGCTGCTGGAGTGCTTGGCGAAGGCCCCTCGGCTACTAATGGGGTTGGTGGTAGCACTTCGACTGAGGGAGGGTGTACCAACTTGACGGTTACTAGTGATGATGACGATGATGACGGTGACACTCGTAGTGACACTTTTGATGAGCACGATAGCTGCAACTATAAGTGGTATGAAGAGCGAGGTCGGTGGTGGTTCTGTGACTACAATAAGGATCGTCGGTGGCACTACTTTGGGAAGTGGCTAGCTGATGATGATGGTGGTGAAGGATGGAAGGACTGGGCTGAGTGGAAAAGTGAAATTTGCCAATCAGAGAACAACGCTTTCTAGAAGCCCGCGTCGTGCATGATCAGAATTAGATGTTTACACGTCCTCCCTACTATTGCCCTTTCCCTGCTCACCCTCCCCCCAGGGCCGTTCAGTGTACAGTAGCATTCTTGTGTATAGGGGATATTGTCTATATTATTATTCTCATTATCATCATCACCGCTCACCGCGGAGATCTTGCATGAGCCGTAGGTGTTGTGTTGAGTCGTCACACATGCCTCTAAGATTCAGTGTACCGATCTTCTGTCGGCTCTCTTTCAAGGGGGAACATGTCTTCAACTACGCAGGTCGTAGCGGCTGCTCCCGACCGTACTGCAAATGTCTGTATAGATTCGAAAGTCGCGGCGATCGTCTGTTGACAGCAAGGACCGCGGGCCCGATGTCGTTGCCGCTGGTGCTGGCACTAAGCGCTCTAAAGGGGAGGGACGGAGGGTGGGTGAAGGGTCTCAATTCTTGCAGAGGACGGACTCCCTTCAGTCTTCCCTTGGCGGGGCTTCTAACGGTGTGCGCAGTCCCAGGACCCTCGCAGCTGTGGCGGACTCTGTGGCCATGGCACTGGCTGGCAACGTGGGCTGGAAAGGGGAGGGGTGATAGTCGCAGGCTCGTGGGATCACTTAGGTGCCGCCCCCAGCAGAACTGTTCAAGTTATCAGGGAAGCAGGAGGCCATGGCTAGACAGGCTGCGGCCCAGGCCCAGCTCAGGAGTGGGCATAGCAGAGCCTCCCGTAGAAGGTCTTCGGCGGCGGGGGGCACGGGGGACAGGGCCTCCACAGTGGTCGTACCGCATGTCCCGCGGCATGCAGCCAATGCTGCTATACAGAGACAACGAAGAGAGAGGGAGCTGGAAGGTAGGTCGGGGCCATGGGCTCCCTCATGGGACCGCTTGTCATCTTCAGAAGCGGCCCAGGCCAGGCAACTCAGACAGGCACTCTTGGTCGAGGGGCCACCCCGCACGGGCGCGGCGCGGACCCTTCCAGCATCCAAGTCGTTGGTAGATGGTCCCAAGCCGCCAGCTGAGGGCAAAGAGCCCGGTCGCCACAGACCGTCCCTTGCCGCTACCTCTAGGGATACCCTTACCCAGGTTTACGGTGGGAGGGTTACTGGTCCACGTACGAGGCCGCCTAGCAGGGGGTGTAGTCGTAGCCTGCCACCTCCTAAGGGGAGGACCACGAGCTGGGCGAACAAGAGGCCTGATGGTCGGTGCACTCCCTTCAGCGAGGGCTGCGTGTCACCACGGGACGATCTGGAAATACCTCCTCTCCCGCCTCGGAAACGAAAGGAGTCTGTGGCCCCGACGACAGACCAGCAGAGAAGGACGGGTCCGGACAAGGGCCGACCTCCTCTGCGGAAGAGGCTGCGACAGAAAGCACTGGATAAGGCCACTAAGCTGGCCAGGGCGCTGGCTTCTAGTCGCAGTCGGACGGTACTGCAAGAAGAGGAGGAGGGGACACCGAACGCTTCTCCAGGTGGGAGGATAGATGAGGATCCAGGGCCCAGCTACCACGAGCTAGGTAGCAGTAGTAATGGTGATAGTCAGGAGGAAGAGCTGTCACCGTTGATAACATCTATATCGCTTTCTACACCAGCTATGAAGGAAGAGTCTATTGGCCTGTCTAAGCGGACGGTGGGGACTAACACTTCCCCTCCTAGGAGAAAGAGGGCACGACGGCCCAGTCCACCAGCAGCAGCAAGAGCTGGCTTCCAGCAGCAGCAGGAGGAGGAGGCTCCTCTACTGTCAACAGCCCAGAGTGAGGTTAGTAACAGTTTGCGGGATGCCGCTAGGGCCCATGGTCTGACCATCACCAACTTGGGTGGACTGCGGGACAATTCCCTCCAGCATAATTCCTCGACCTCCCCTCTACATTGGAGCCAGGCCTCGGAGGAATTCCTGGGCACCTTCTGCAGCGCTCATGGCCTCACTCTGGTCAACATTGCTCACAGTTTCCCTTCACCAAGCTCCCCTGAGGTCCTCTCCTCCTCCCTGCCGGCCACCACTATGCCGACTGTCTCTCCAGCAGCTGGTCTATGGCAGCCTCAAGAGAGGCCCTTGCGGTACCCCAGACCTGAGCCCGATACTAGCCCTCAGGATATGGTCATAGTTGATCGGACCGCTGCCTCGGTTACTCCTGGGCCGCCAGAGGAGGTCTCGGACTATCTCGAGGGATACCTAAAAGGAGGGGCCTCTTTAGCACAGCGGTTGCCGGTGCCTCCAGTTGGGAGGCCGTTGAATAGATCCCGGGTTCTACCCCAGCGGTATGCATTTGACGGCCCTGGTTATTCAAGGCCCGACTCTATCGGTCGCTCCCATACCCCCATCAGAGTGGATTCTAGCGGCTCTTCTGATGGTAGAGGTGGTCTCGACGAGGGCGACATCGATGCGGACGATGGTATGAGGGTCGTTGACATAGTCACCAGTATGCGTAGCGCCATAGGTAGCGCCCGCTAGGGTTGAGGGGATCGTTACTGTGGCCTGCAGGTACTCCTGGGGACCAGGCAGGAGTCCATGCATTGGGTCTGGCGGTGGGAGCTGCGGTACAAGCTAACCTTGACATACCATCTCTGCCTGAACCTACCATAATGTCTACGGGGGGGCCTAGTACAGCTGATAGCGGCGGCCTTATGCTGGTCGACTTCAACACTCAGAGGCGGCCTCCGATTCGAATCTCCAGCCCCTCGAACAGTCGTAGTGTTGGGCCGCGGCAGGTGGGCGTCTCCCTAATGTGGCGGTGTTGGAATTTCGTGGCACGTGACTCAGGGCATAGCAGCATCTACCATGGGGGATACCTCTGACATCCTTCCCGAGTCGCTATACGACAGTATTGGGATCAGCCGTATCGACGAAGACCCCACTGAGGAGCAGCGGCAGTCCCCCAGTGGTACTACCGCCTCCCACTGTGATGAGGAGCTCGAGGTAAGGGGGAGGCGGCAGTCTAGAGAAGATGGTGCCGTTCAGGATATCTGTACCAAGGCAGAGCCAGTGTATAGCACCAGTGGTAGCGGCAGTGGTTTAGCGGGTACCGTAACACCGTCATCAATACCTAGTGGGACGGCACATCCCTCCGCTGGCGAGGGAACATCGAAAGAGAGCATCCCTCTGCGGGGTGCTTGTACAGGAATCCAGGGATCTCACGTGGAGGAGCTGAGTCATAAGGCACGATTGGCGGTAGCCCCTCTCTCTAACGTGTGTCACCACCGTGTCACCATGTCAGCTGGACCACATGGACCGAACGGACGAACTGATTCGATTGGCCGACTCTGCCGAGCTCCATAGGCGCCATCACAAAATGATCAACCAACAAGTATTCAGTCGATGCCTAGTCGTAGTGCAGAGGGTCTGTCAGGTCAGTGATGCTTTGGCGGCAGGGGAGCGTCACAGTGAGCGTCTGGCCCGGGCCCAGAAGCACTTGACAGGGGGAGTGGCCCAGCCTGCCACTGGTATTAACCGTGATGGTACTGTGCAGACGGAGAGGGAGGACAGCATGAGGGAGGGCTTGGGTCATGGGACAGTCCATGTCCCGATGGGAGTCCAAACGCTGACCACCACGACGGAGCCTCCCACGGTGGGTTGGGCCTCGGTGTTGGTGATCGTACTGTAGCCGCCGTATTGCAGGTACCTTCGGTGGAGGCTATTGGCCTCCAGACGGAGATAGGGAGGATGGAGATGGACATTGACTGTCTGGACCACACACTGGAGGCTAGTACTGATATCGACCAGGCCGTGAGGCATCCTCCTCCTAACCCTCCTATTGTTGAGCCATGCTTTCTACAGTTGCGTGGAGCCTTCGTCCAGGACTCTGTCCATGGTTTCTCTTACCCCATGTGGACCCAGACGGAGGGGCCAAGTCGAGGCGTGGACCAAGTAGTAGTTACCCTGCTGTCGTCTCTAAAAAACCCTGGAGTGTTTAGGGTGTACAGCCGAGTTTGTCCTCGAATGGAGGCCAGTCTAATGCAGGTCGGTACAGCAGAGGTGCGTCGGGTGTGGAGGTGGAGCTCTCTCACTCCTGTGCTGCTATAGGCTCCTCTAGGGCTCGGTCTGGTAGTAACCGCTCTAGCCCTACCTACTCCATGGTGGGCTTCGAGGATGAGGAGGCCACCACTTCCGAGGTCTCTGTGGTCCAGCCCGGCTCCATTGTGGCCTCGTCGATCCAGTCGGACATATCCCTCCCTTTCACTTCACCGTTCAGTGACTGGCGGTCAGCGTCATCGACTGGCAGAGGTCCGGGGTCGGCAGATCCAGAGGAGGCCAGCATTCTTACGGCGAGCGCTGCTTTGGAGGGCCATCTGAATCTCACCTACAGGAACCTCAGAAATGAACGATCGACTCACGGAGGGGAGGCCAACGATGCTGTAAGAATGATGTGGAAGTTCGAGCTGGAGTGGTATCGATTAGGGCCTCCGGTCTAGCCATACCTCGTTATATGAATCGAGGTTGAGCAACAGCCCGTCCTCTAGCATGTCGATCCTTACTGAGTTCACTGTTGATGGTGGTAACAACGTGAGTGTAGAGGAGGTCAGTGGGGCCTTGGCCCGGAGGAGGAGGAAGGCCGAGGCGGACGTCGAGGAGCGCATCCGGAGCAGTAGGGAGAAGATGGCTGCTGGCAAGGAAAGGGACATCGCCTCTCCGCAGAAGAGGCGGCGGGAGCATCGCAGGGTTAGTGATGTGGCCTTTTCGGGCGGGTTGGTCAGGTGGGGTCTGTCATCAGGCTGTGGAGGAGAGGAAGAGGAGACGTCGGGAGGCTAAGGACTCCTTCAAGACCTCCTTGGAGAGATTCAGTGAAGGGCTGATGGACTCTCGAGGGTCCAGTGGGTCTAGTACAGACTCCCTCTCGATCATCATCAGAGGTTGGCGGTCCGTGTGGTCGCCCTTTGGTATCGTCTTGGTATAGATGCGGAACGCCGGCTTCTAGCGCAGCAGCAACGGTTGAAGTCGAGAAGTGAGGCTGTTGCTAAGGACACGAGGGTGACTGAGGATGCCCTACGGGATAATGCAGCGAAGCTGAGGAAGGTAGAGTACCTGAAGGAGTTGAAGAAGGAGGTATGCAGATGTTGGTCCTTCCAGTGGGCACTTGCTTGGCAGATCTCTGAGGCCAAGAGGGAGGGGCCGCCGTTCGAGATCACTCAAGCTGTTGAGGATGCTGAATTGAGTCCCACTGGTCCCACGACACCAGCGTGAGCTACTAGCCCTGGTGTACGGTAAGGGCCCTTGAGAGAATCCTCTAGGGTATCTGAAGGGCCGTCGAGGGAGGACGCTGAAGTGGTGGCGGAAAGTGTCGTAGAAGATCGTAAGGAGGTGATCGAGGAGCCACCCGTTCACGAGGCAAGTCCACCTGCGGTCTCGGGGGCCTCTTGTATTCGGCAGCGCTCACAGGTGGTTGAGGGAGAGGCGGCCTTGGTAGGAAGCGACGAGGAGCGGAAGGTGAGTATTGCCTTGGAACCCTTCGGGGTGGATTCAATTTAGTCGACGGCTTCGATCACCCTACAGCGGATCCATGCGGTAGAGGCTCAGAACGAGGAGGACAGCCAGAGCAAGCTCGAGCGTAACGCTCTTTCATAACAGTTATACGTACTCCTCTTGACTGTAGTAGTGGAGACCCTGGCCCGTCTCGAGCCGTCCTCCCCTGCTGTGACCCCCGGTAGCATCGTAGTTGTCGCTCCCGAGGGAGATAAGGATTTCGGCAGCAGCCGTGAAGTGGTACAGCATCTATCGAAAGGTCCACCATCACTTGCCTCCCACAGGAGCTCTCCCGTGACACTTCGGACTCGGCAGTGCTAATCGCGGACCCAGTGGAGGCGGCCAGAGCGGTCGCAGAGGCCAAGGTCCCGTCTGTCTGGAAGGTGGTACTTCTCTTGAGCTGGTACCTCGAGGGTGCCTTTATAGGAAGTCAGCAGTGGTGCTAGTGGGAGCAGCCAACGCCGATATGAGTCGTCTTCGGAGCAAATCCTCGAGGTCGCCCGCTTTGATGCCAAGTCCCCAGTGGTGTCCAAGAAGAGTGCCGAGGACCTCGAGATCGACAAGATGGAGGTAGGGGAGAGCCAGTGTGTCCCTGTGGGCATAGTCGGGTAGGTGGTTGAGGAGGCCCCTGTCCAGAGCCCAGAGTTAGTCCCTCTATTGCCGAGACCATCGACTAGCAGCAGCAGTAGGGGTTCACCTGTCCTTCGGGTTGAGGGGGAACCAAGAGCGGGTAGTAGGGTATTCCTGTATCGGAATACATGGTCAGCCTCTCAGAATCCGTCACCCCTATTCCCAGCAGTGACGCTCTACTAGGTTGGGCTAGGACCTTGCCCAAGACTGAGCTGGACCAGTGTATTGACGACATTGCTGAACATGTTCGCCCGTTGGTCGTCGATTGATGCGATGGGATGGCACCTACCTCAGGTGCTGGAGTCTCTCCTGGACGACAGAGCCCTTGAGAGGAGGGTCCTCAGTGTATTGGGACGCGATGGTCCCTCATTGGAGGACGGCTATCCTCATGATGCGGATAGCAGGAAGCTGCATCGACACCGCCTAGCTACGTCCAAGGCCGCCGTTGATACTGTAGTCAAGGAGGCACAGGCTAGGTGAGCTCTGCAGCCTTGAATGATGGGCTAGGGGCCCACGACTATTATAGGTTCACCGATAGGGGAGTATTGGACTCAACAGCTCTTAAAGGAGGGAATGCTGATGCTTCGGCGCTAGCTGAGATGCAATACAAGGTGACTGAGAGTAGAGGAGAAGTTGGTATGGGCAGAATGCGATTCCTCAGGTGCCGGCCGATTCCGGATACACCCACAGGCTTCTATGGGAGTCTTGCCTCGAGCTAGCTCGGCAGCCCTCGGATGCCCAACGGACGTGCGCTCTCTGGAGCAAACGCTTCCCCGGCACGAAGTCTCCGTTGACGCACTTCGTGGCTGTTGTGAACTCGTGGTCTTCAATTCAGCAACAATTAAACCAGATACTGGAGATAAACTCCGACTTGCGCATGCGTGCAGATGCTGGTTTGCATCACTCCGAGGTGCAACAAGCAGAGGAGCGGCGAGTTGACGGCCTTGCAATGGGCGCTGTCTCCTGTCTTGCCGTTACCGGTGTTACCGCTCTCTACGACTGGAGTCAGCGGGAAAGGATACGGTCTAGGATATTGGTGGACGTGGATGAGGAAGTGTTTGCTGCGCTGGTCGAAGACTTCGCTCTAGAGCTTAGAGATGAGTATGAGGAGGGCGGGGGATGAATGCACGCTTGTCATAGTGTTCTCCGAGGTTGACCGCTTGGGTTATGAGGGAGTTGAGGATCAATGAGAATCACTGCCGAATCTCGTCATTATGGAAGATGGGCGAAGCGTCTGACCCTGCATAATAAAGAATGATGCTGGGAGTAACATAGACTTTATTTGATATCGTGTCGAGGAAGAGCAGATTACACGATAGTGACCGTGAATCAGGGAGGCGAAAAGATGTGAACATCCAACAACGGAATAAACATTAGCGCTCGCTGCAAATCCTAGCCAGCTCAAGCTTGTAATCAGACTTGCGTCCAAAGCAGAGCTAGAAAGTTTTCCCGAGGTATTTCTCTCGTGCAGCAAATTCCTGTCACTCCGGTCCGGTTAATTAATCCATTCAGGAATAATACCCGTCTCGAGCATAACCAACGTAGCTCAGTTTTTGATCATCATCTAACTTTCTGCACTACGACAATGAATCGGGTAAGCTGCTCAGGACCATCTCAATACTAACAAACTCAAGTCTCAAGGAGTCTGTGAATCTCGCACGTAGTATCAATATCAATGATGTACCAAAGTTCTGGCAGTACCCCGAAACTATAGAGTTCCTAGTAAAGGAAGACGTATGTTGCAATAATGCAGATGATTGTATATGAACAGCAATGATATCATCATCAGCACCGACACAACACGAGTACGAAAAGCCGCTGGCTAAAGTGACGACGGGGTAATCCGAAGGCCTTTAACGATGGATAAACGTGCTGTCGTCTCGGACTGGGCCAATAGCTGATCGCCACAGCCGGAAATGTAACCAAGCGGGATGGGCTGGGCTCCCACGAACAGTCCTCGAGAATTGAATACGTGCAATATCCGTTCCTCAGGCAGAAGGAGTACAATATCACCAGCAGAGGTCTCCTGTATGGACGTGCAGGCCTTGTAGTCGCCGCTGATAGGCCGTGTTACCGACCTCCATTTACCAGTAGAAGGAGAGCCCACGTAGAGCTTACCATCGATGGATGACACCAGAGCGAAGTCTCCATCACCCCTAGCAGTGATGGCTGCGATGGACGCTACCTCCACTGGCAAGCCTTGAAGCACAGAGTCACCAGTCGCACAGGAGTACAGCTGATTATCGTCAAGAAGGACGAATACCTCATCCCCTCTAACAGTGACGTCCTTGATCTCCTTGTCTTTGACGTATTCACTGGCCACAGCGCACTTCAATGATGATGACGATACAACAGGACCAGATACTTCACGGAGTGAATGAAAGTCCGCCAGCACAGCTTTACCATTATTACTACTGCATCCCATCTTACGGGGAGTGTACCATACGAAATGCTCAGGGAACCTCAACGCCTCCTTGCCAGCATAAGTGATCTCAAAAGGGCCACTAGCTTCACCATTGGTGACCATCTTCAGTCTACGCTCATGAACATTCCTCTCGTTGAACGACGGGTCATACTTCAAGGACACCTCAGCGCTGGTCTCGGCTATTGCAAACAGCCAAGCGGCCATTATCACGACACTACCGAACCGGAACAACATGTAGGGTACCCTCACCTTCTCCCGGTGACTCGCATCGGTCGCAGCCTGAATAGCCGCCCTCTCCTGGTCCAGCAAGGCCTTAGACTTCAATTCGAACTGCCTCAACTGCGATTCGACGGACTTGGTAGTTTCCTTGTAGTCATAAATACCCGCATCTCTAGTGGGGGAATCCCACTTGATCTCGCCGGTTTCCACATTGAGATAATACGGGAGGTTCTCCCCAGCCTCAGTCTTATAGCCCAGCCTGATCCACCCCTCAGTGGGGTTGAATGGAGTGCCCGGCGTAGCATCGCCCTTCCCTCGTTCCTCGTCCAACAACTGCGCCAACCTCTTCCTATCCTTCTCGAATCTGCCCTTCAGCTTAGTCAGCTCTTTCTTCTCCTGAAAAACAGGGGCTAGAATTGCAATCACTTGGCCAGCCCAGACCTACCGAGTCCGATAAAAGGTGCTCTTCCTTAGCCCAATGCCTGAACATTTTCTGCATGTCCTTCTCAGCCTTCTTACAGGCGTATTTGAGGTCCTTCGAAATGTCAGGATGATATTCCCCAGTCTTAGCTCCGTCCTGTTGCCCAGTAGGCTTATGAACTCCCCAGTCATTGATGGGCCCCTCCTCGGTGAAACCAGGCAACCCCGAGGAATTGATAATCCTACGTTGGAGTATTCTACCGTTGCTGGTTAGGTTAAGTACTACTTTGGTTCAGCAACTGGCTCATGGACTTCCTTTATAGTCTCCAGTCCGAAGCCTAGTACATCTATACACCATACCGTAGAGAACTTCACAGGAAGACCATTCTTGTCAGCCACTGTCAAGTACCTGCCGACACCATTTGAAGACTAGCGTGTTGAAAAAAGTGTCTTACACAAAGAACATCTCGTAGAGGAGGCCCATGATATGCGCCGACAGAGCAAAGATGAGGGCCGGTCGTTCGTTGACTTGAGGTAACTGGACAAGGAGAGAGTATAATGGATGCCATGAGCTGGGATACTACCTCGACGTTGAAGCTGTTACCCCACTCGTACTCACAAAGGACTGCGGCACAATAGAGGAAAGGTGGTACGGCTGTGAGGAACGCCTAAGAAGAGAAAGAAAGTTTGCGATTTACGGTATGATATTGGTCCCACCATAATGCAGAATTCTGTGAAGTTGACGGTGAGGTTCATCTTAGCATTGAGTAGAGCGGCCACCGAACATAACGTTACTATAACGTAAGCTGCAAGTGGATTCTCCCAGAAGTAGCCCCAGTACAACAGCGCGAAGTACGCCAGAGCATACAGGAATTGTAGAGTACCTATTGGTATAGTAAAAGGCAGCCCCTCACTGCTGCTATCACTACTACCCATACACATACACACCCTAGCATAAGCCTCATGACCCTGCCATTTCCTATGCAGCTGGTTGAATAACGCAAAGTGCTGCTTGAACGTATCCCATTCGGTAGTCAGATCCCTTATCTCCTACAGCGACCATATTGAGGTTGGACTCATTGATAGTTCGAAAGTATGTTGAGAGGACAGCCCTAGTACATTCTTCCCCTTCGCTTCCTTATGCTCGAGACCGGGAATTTTAAGGTTGCTCTCTCTGGCATACTCCGTTACTACAGGGACACGAAACCAACCGCCAACACCAGAACCTGAACTGTACCGTATGCGAGGCGATTGACTGAAGTCGTACTAACCTTCGAAGTCTTCCAGTCTGGCGGAGCCCTCAGAGATCTCCATGGAGCTGGCCACGGGCAACCGCAACCATTGGGTTAGTGACCTCACTGAATAGGTCTGGGCCGAAATGGAGGCGTGCAGAGCCAGCCAGATAGAAAGGAAGAAGTAGAAAAATGCAGCACCTGATAATAAGCGATTCGCAGAGTAAGAGCCTGCCAAAGGACTACTTACCTAACGTGATTGACCAGGGCCAGAAGAGCCAGTTTGGAGCCAGAAGAGGCGTTCTTCCTTTGTAGAACATCTCCGTACAGAAGCCAACCAGCAAAGTACTCACAAGCTGACAGTGACTGTGGTAACAGAGGGAATCGGGTGGGATAGTCATTACCATATAGCAGTCCATTTTGCCTATTGTGAGGCCGAAGAGGTCTCTAAGATCTTCTCGGTACAGCACCACTGCCATAACTCGCTGCTTCTGGTGCTGATAGAGATTCTTCTGCCGCATGGTCCGATTGAAGTTGTACACTTCTCGATTGTAGCTGAACCATTCAACTCCACCGTCGCTAACAGCCTCAGCCATATTGATAATGCTCTAGTGTTGGTAGTAGTAGTAGATGAGGAGTAGAAGTAGTTGACTGTATTGGAAATGGGCAAGGCCAACAGCAACTACTACTATACTCAATAATAAGGACCGGCTTCCCTTATAGTATCACAACGTCTTCACCATAATCACTACCGAGTGAAATAAGCCGCAGTATTACTACTACCTCAACGGGCCGAACCACTACTACTGTAGCTCTCACCGAGGGGCTACACCCGCCGTCGGAAACAGAAGCCAACCTCAGTTGCGATCTGTCTTACCGCGATGCATAACATTAATAACTCTATTCACAATCCCATTTGCTACACAACTAGTGCGAACCAACCGTCATTAAGCAGGTGTTACGACTGAAGCCTTTGTGACTACGCGAACCTTCAGCGAAAAAAAACAAAAAACGCAGCGGAGCGATGCAACAACCCGGTGCCCACTGCTTCAACAGTGTAACTGGCCTCTACTCCAGAGAAGTGCCCAGATACATGATTCCATAAGTTTAAACTGTTTTGAATAGTCGTGGAAACAGAACATATGTAACATGGCGAAGAGCATATCCGTTATACAAAGGGAGTCGGCTCGAGGACTTATTCTTGGTAAGTGCTGGAGGAGCAAGATCGGAGGGCGTCGAGATAAGCATACTTTGATGACGGTGAAGATAGAGCGGTGAAAGTCTTAAAGGGGCAGCCACAGCCAGAGTCTCATGCTGGGAATAGCGACTTCGCGTATAAGTCGCTGTTGGGCCTTAGTTCAGCAGATGATATCCTGTCTGTGTTGCAGACGTTTGGTAACCACATCTCTCCAGAAGGTTGTTCGCGATTGTCTATACAGCTACTCGTGTCTGATATCCCCAGTGCAAGCCGTGTCACCATTGAAGTGATGTGACTATTCTTATGTTACCACACTATGACATTCTTTCATAATTGACTCAACAACATGTGGACATGAAGATCAATATCGCAACATGACGTTATACACCACTGAAGAGAGCATCACTATAGTCATGATAGCCATCATCATCATCATCACGCATTATTCCCTACTTATCCACCTCGCACACTGATTCATAGGTTGGTATCATGTATCTACTACTCGATATCATCACACGAACCACACAGCTTAGTAGTGGTACTTGATATTAATAAAGGCATCCTCCCCACCGTGGACCTCGAAGATCTCCAGAGTCTCCTCTACTAGATCTCCCAACACTAAACGCTTCCTCTGACCTGATGCACAAGTTCTTGAGAGCGATCATACGAGCCTACCGTATTCCATCTTATCTTTCGAATAAATATTGGAGTTCTTAAAAATGTAAAAGATGGGCAAGATCTGCCTATAATAAGGTACCAACGCCTCCCCTATCATCTCAGCCGATAAGACTAACGTCTGGAGCATCTACACCACCAAGGCTGATAACTGTGCAGCTGATACGGAGCACCTTCAGAGTCGTGGCGATGACCTCGGGATCTCGTGAATTGAGGGCGGTCTTGATCGGTATGATGAGCTGTGGTATGACTGGTAGTATCTTACCACCACCTCTCTCGAGCAAGTCATATACACCTTCCACTGCTAGGAATCTATGTGTTGCCTTATAACTGCTAACACACAGTATGCACGACTCACCGATACGGCTCCTCCTTCTCACGAATACCGTCAAAGAATATAGGTAGGTAGTGGTGATAATCCAACTTGTCGATATCAACCTTCCATGCTATCTTATTCCACGTCCCAGCGTGTGATATCTGAACATACCGCTCCTCTACCAAATCATCATCAATTCCAACACAGTGACCCTCTACATCCCTATTGCATTCTCCTAAGGGGCACTCTAGTCGATTCCGCGAGCACCTGTATAGGTAGATCTCCTCGATCATAGAACTTCCTGAACTCCGTAGGTTTGATTGGCTTCCGGCTATACGCCCCTGCCTTGGGTGGTGGTATGCAACGAGACCTCCCAGCACTCTTGTCCACTGCCTGAGTTTAACGTCATGCGCCGCCGCCGACTTTCATGCAGCTCTCCTTCTACTCACCTGCGGTCTCGTCCTCGCTAGTCCAACAGTGTTCATGAGGTTTTTCTTAGGCTTGTAATCTGGTGGGAAGTTTCCGAAAGGCGAATCGGATCCTCGGGGAATAAGCCCGGCCATTTTCTGCTTATGTCTGTCCAACAACAACAAACATGTCGTCACTACTACCAGTTGCACTACTACTACTACTACTACTGCTACTACTACTACTACTACTACTACTACTACTACTACTATTATTATTATTATTATTACATCATCCGAGCATCATGAGTAATGATCCGTTTGAGCTGATCTTCCAGTATGAGAGTAGCCGCAGCGCCGGGAGTCGAGTTCACTTGCTGCATGGGGTAGGGTAGAAGAGCAAAAGGAGACTCATAGCCCCGACAGATCCGACAACACAACATATGAGATCTGAGGAAATTCGGTCTGCATGGTCATAAACTTCATCAAGCTCCCTATAAGAACTTAATCGTCCTCAGTGCACGGACTAGTCTATCTTGTATGCCCCTCCCTGCCGCAGTATCCTCCTATAGAGGGACGATGGACCGCTCCCAACTCATGCGGCCGCACCGGCCCCGCACGTAGGTCAGAGCGCACGGCTCAGCTGCTAGGCGATGTGAACATTCCCATACAGTGGGAAGGATTCCTCTTAGAGGAATAGCCCATCACCACTGGCTATCAGCCAGTGAGGAAAAGTACGCACTTGATCAACTACGCATTGAAGACAATAAGGATTTTTGTTGGCTCTTGTACGCGTCTACTCTAAGTCGCGTATATTTTTTGTATAATATAGTGATAAGCTCCCGAGCTCAGCTGAGAAGACTGAATATGTATTCCAACACTGCTGATAACAGTACGAAGCACGAGTAGATAAGAGAATTCAGTCAGATCTAGAGCACGAATTTCGGGGCGAGCGCGAAGTGTAAATGCTCATTTCCCTTGAGATTCCAACCTTAATCAATAAGCAAGAGCCTATATAAACCTGTTTGAGCTGCTGCGTGAGCAGCCCAAGCAGTCTGCTGTTGATATAGCAAGAACCGCCTCTAGCGCATCTCGATTGGGAACAGGTGTAATCCACAGCAAGAGAATTGGTGCAGGATAGGAGTTAGACACGTCTCATCGTAACGTTGAGTCTAGGATCGTCGGTAGCAAGGCCGCCCAATAGGAGCTACAGGATAGTCGCAGAAGGTCCCGCTTTTTCATCCCATGAGTTGAGTCTAAAGCCATCTCATCTCGTTCATAGAAGTAAATTCCCAGGCAAATCCTGGCAACAACTAGATTAACTTCCAATACCACACCACTCCCTCAAATAGCCAGCCACACGACGCACCCACCCTAGCATTCCTTCATGACGCTCAACCCGCGGGAGAATACTCAGATCTTCTGGATGGGCAGTGCCAGAGTGTGTGGAAGATTCCGCTAAGCCCAGTGAACCCCCGGCTCCTACTTTCCGTTAATAAATAAAAGGATACCATGCATGCCACAAAGGCAGAATATCAACACAAACCTCCTCGACAACCACAAGCACAATAGAAACGTAGTGTGGCTGAGCTATCGAGAGCTGCTGCTGTCGTTTATCAACGCATCCTGTACATCTTGGTGTATTCTGAAGCACAGCTTGCCGTCGCACCAAGCCTACCCTCTCCAGCTGAGGCGACAGAGCCATAAACAACTTTGATATCAAGGTCTCGAGGGTTCCGCGGCGACTTGCGCATTCCCAACGTACACAGTAGCACATCTAAGAAGTAGCCGTTGAAGAGTGAGGAGAGACAAGCCAATAGCTATGTACCTTTTGACCCGTACTCCCCATGTGCTAGTGGACAGAAGTCATCAAAGTAGAGGACTGTCTGCCGCCAGTGAGTCGAGGTACTGTCTGGTCCTGTGGACATACTATACGCCATAGCACTAGGGTCATAGCCGAAGGTAAAAGAAACGTCAAACCATAGAACCTGCACCATGCATACACAGGGATCAACAGGGGGTTCATTACGAGCCCTGTGACTATGTCTCGTCGTATAGAAGGTAGTCGGATCTGAGCGACGAACGCTAAGTCGGCCGATGTACAGGAGAAGAGATCCAACTCCAACGCACAGGCAGTAGAGGTACAGACCTTATCCACCGCAAGGTCGGTCTGAATTGGAAAAGGAGTGGTATTCAGTGGTGGATAATCGATGAACTCACAACCACCGGTTCCGTGGAAAGCTCCTCTCTCACACAGCTCATCCGGATCCCACCCATATTATCCCAGGAGTGCTTGCGAAGGTCGACATCCTCCCACGCACTGATACCCGCTACATAGAGACAAGCTCGGTCGGGAAGCATGAACCCTTCTGACGTAAGCCACTTGTCGCGAGCATAAAGGACCTGAGCCGCCAGTATGTTAGCAGTAGTAGCACTGACAGTTATACCGAATCAAGCATAGCCTCATACAACAGGCAATAACCCATCCACTCCGATACTATGATATCAACCTTATCAACGGGCAACTCAACCTCCTCGACTTCGCCCTCTATATACCTACAGCAGTATGGAAGATAATGCACACGGTCAACTACATGTGTCGGTGACGACAATATGAAAATTCTTGAGAAATTTGAGGAATTTCTTATTGATTTCTGTACACTTCTACCCAAATTCGCATAAGGACCTCTATAGTAAGTGAGGGAATTCCTAAGCTCAGCCGAGGAAAGCGACCATATATTCCAACACTGACACATAGAGTTCTCATGAGTCATCGAGATAAGCTGCAAAGAGTTACGTTATCCTATCACCGAATCCATTAGCAGCTGCGACAGCCCTAGCCACTTCGACAATCTCCGAGAATTCCACACCGTATCTGAATGAACTCCCATACACCCCTACTAGCAGTGCCCGTCATCATCATCATACACGTGCTCAGCTCCAGCTTGTGCAGCGAACATGCTCAGGATGCCAGTACCACTACCGACGTCTAATACCTAGCCATGACACCATCAAGCCCATAAGCCAGAGCCTTCGTCCTGTACTACCGTCTTGCCTTGGAACAGATGGGCGTTATCGAGTATAGCCCTACGATAGGCATCGGTGCGGACCTGGTCGCCCAGCATCTCTTGGTGTATCTCCAGCTTTCCATAGGAGTTATAGTAGTAGTCATGATTCTGCAATCTGCCATCACCATTTCACCACAACGACTGTCTACCGCCTCTACCACCTAGACAACGGATCACGCATCCGTCCGTGGTCACCAGCATGACTCCAGTCCCGAGCCCAAACCTTCAACGATGGAGTCGCTGCTGCAATTGTAGTACCAAGGGAATTGGACGAATCCCCATCCACATGTGACTCTACCGAGTTGGCTGAAATCACCACTCAGTGCCGATGTGAATACATAGTATATTACTGATGCCAGGAGACCTTCCGTATCTATCCTCGTTACGCCTCGGGCTTGTCATATGCCGCTTATCACGGTTGCCACTACATGACCGCTTGAGACCATGGAGCCTCCCAAAAGGCGTGCTCCTAGAACTGCGATCGACATCGATGGGCGATCGGTCTGGTGTTAGCTGAGAATTCGAGGATGAGGAGTCCATACAAGAACCGACGCTCGGAGATCCAACCCTCCCGTAACTGACGACACAAGCCCCCACGTTTTTCAAAAGGGTAAAACAGGAATGTTGTCATCGGCTATATCACTGAAGACGATACGACAACCAGCACAGCTGGCCACACGTAACTCAGTACGGCCAGCAGAGACCTTCATTAACGCCTCCATTCAACATACACCCCCAGCGCCATCAGACGGTATAACACCGGCCTCTACTGCGGAGGCGGTGGACCACTATACGCCTTGTTCTGTCCCCTGGCAGGGCCTCCAGCTGTACCCGTCACTTGCATCAATGACGCGAAAGGATCTGTTCAAAGGGAAGTGCAACACCAACAGAACAATAACCCAAGCGACGCCCCAGATTAGGTCTTAGATCATTTCGGCTTCCCTACCTGTTGCTCCCTGAACTGGATGAGGTCGTTGTCTCCGTGCCTGAGGCATTCTCTTTGGTGCTGGGCGGAACCGGGCCGGTTGAGCGAAAGCCGCGGGAACCCCATTGCTCGGCGGTGACGCCAATGGTGACGCCTCAGCAGACTGCGTTGTGGTATCCGGCTTGCGATCATCATATCCCGCAACAGGAGCCGCCGCTTGCACCGGCTGCGGCGGAGCGCTGGATGATGAAACTGCAGGGCTCGATGTGTTCTGGGGGCTCGGGGCCGCGACAGAAGCGGCCGGCCCAGCAGTAGGGGGCTGCACGCCGTTCGAAGGTGCGCTGACAGACAGTGGACCTGAGCCATGTGGACGTATATGGAGACCAGTGATCTTCCTTTCGGATTACCTCCCGGAATCTGTACACTAGGACTTGCGTCCCATTCTGTCTTTGGTTGTTGTTCATGATGAGGTGCAGGAGGCGGACTTGGAGTAGCATCAGGTGAGTAGTTGGGCCCTGTGAAGGCCGCATGGACGCCAGGAGAGGCGATGCTGGATTTCATCGTCTCCGCGACTGGTGACACCGGACCACCAGAAGCGATGGGCGGGTGAACGCCCCCCACTGATGACGAGATGGAGGTGTCAGCTAGAGTGTGCGGTCTTCTGTCAGCAGTAGCTCCCACCGGAAGGCTTGGCACACTACCATTTGCATACTGTGGGGATTCATCTGATCACAACACAGTTCTATCCGTAGTGATGTATAATCACTAGTAGAGAGGCAAACGATATAAATATGACTCCCCGCATTATTCTGTTCGTTCCAAGAACAAAATATTCCTTCCGAAATCACCACCGCGCCTCCGTCTAGCAATACGCATATCTCCGAAATCGATGGCATATTCTGAGCCTGATTAGTCCTCGACGCAATGATAGTGATTCTCCCTCTCTCTCAATTCCACGGGTAGTATACCATCAACACTATCAGGGCCAATACTAACTACATAAACCGAATGCACACACGCGCAATTCTACTATTGTTATGTATTCGATTTTGACCATGTTTGTTTTACTTTCCTTTTCCTCCACACTTTGATCATCACCGTCCTCCTTAGGCGATGTAATCTTCTTAAGATCGCTGACCTCATTGAGGGACGATCGCTCCTCTTGGGTCAGATTCGAGAGGGAACGGCATGTGAGATGCTCGATAACCTGAACCCAACACCACATAACTCCGCTGTTGACTACGCGCCCGTCCCGATGCGTATAACAACTAATCGCCTCTAGTTCCCGTGGAACCGCTACTTCTGGCTACCTGTTGGCTCGATGATAAAAGCTCACAGTCCACCTCATCCAGATCTTGCTTCAACACCGCTATATCGCATATCAAGCTGTTGAACTTGGCCTATGACCAAGACGACTGGTGACACCACAAATACTGTCACCACTACTACCTGAGATTCTTCCATAAAGGTTTGGAGACTCTGTGTTGTGTAATTTGCCATCTGTGCCAAGTACTGAACCTGGCCAACAAGTAAATCACTGTAGTGTTGGAAAATATCCTCCCTCTCCTCAAGTGAGCTCAGGAGTTTCCTCACTAATCTACAGAAACCAATGAGAATTTTCCGAATTTTTCTCAGAATTTTCGTATTGTTGAGCACGTGCATATGCAACACCATCATCACTCCAAAATTAATACCTGCTGTAGGAGTTGCATAAACTGCTCCTCATTTATCCCTCCGCTCGACGTGTTCACAGCAGCAGCAGCTGGCGCGCCCGCAGCAGTCGAACATACAGGCCTCTCAAGACGAGAAGCTCTGAACCTCCAAATGACACCGTCATCAGCCTTAGGCAATGACAAGGACCTCCTCTTCAATAGTGCCCATACGATAGAGAGGAAGAGTAGACTAGAAGCCACATAGACTTCCAATAGGGGAGAGTCGATGCCCGTAGCATGCAGAACCTCCACCTTAGCAGGCTCGCCATAGAGCATCCATAACTCCCTAGTCACCATGGCAGCTCTCGTAGCTGTATCCTTCACCCTATCACCGACCGACATTCCTCCAACTTCCTGGTTGAGGTCGGTAACCTCAGCTGGAATATCAACTCTACCTCCTCCTTCTGCTTCCTTCGACTGATCCTCGTCAACGCGTTCCTGCTGGTCTTGGACACGGCCCCTCTCACTATCTGCTTTCGTAGAATTTACAACAGGCGACTCAGTAACATCATGTTCCTCCTCCTCTCCCTCCTTCACCCCTAGAGATCCTCCCTCTATTCCCTCTTCTGCTTCCTTCCTCGGATTAGCATGCTCCACCTCATACAGGTCTGTCCCATTCCGCACAACTTCTCCCCCTTCCCGTTCGATCTCCTTTTCTCGCTCAGCCTCTTCCTTCAGCTTAGCTTCCTCCTCCTTCACCTTCCGCTCGGCCTCTTGCCTCTTACGGTCAGCCTCCTCCCTCTCCTTCCGTTCAGTCTCCTCCGCCTCTCTCTTCTTACGATCGGCTTCCTCCTTCTCCTTCCGCTCGGCCTCCTTACGGTCAGCCTCCTCCTTCTCTCTCCGCTCAGCCTCTTTCTTCTTACGATCGGCCTCCTCCTTCTCCTTCCGTTCGGCCTCTTCCTTCTCTCTCCTTTCGGCCTCCTCCCTTTCCTTCCGCTCCGCCTCTCTCTTCTTATGATCGGTCTCCTCCCTCGCCTTCCGTTCAACCTCCTCCTTTTCCTTCCGCTCGGCCTCCTTCCGTGCAGTCTCCTCCCTCTCCTTCCGCTCGGCCTCCTTACGATCAGCCTCTTCGCTCTCCTTCCGCTCCGCCTCTTTCTTCTTACGATCAGCCTCCTCCCTCGCCTCCCGCTCCGCCTCTTCTCTCTCTTTCAACTCAGCTTCCTCCTTCTCCTTCTCCTTCCGTTCCTTCTCCTCCCGCTCCTTCCGTTCTACCTCCTTTCTCGACTCGGCCTCCACTCGCGCTTTACGTTCAGCCTCCTCCTTCTTTCGATCGTATGCTTCCTTCGCGCGCCGGTCCTCTTCCTCCTCTCGCATTCTAGCCTCCTCTTCTTCCTTCTCTTCGCTCTCCTTCTTCAACCGCTCCTGCGCGTCCTTAAGTAATTTCTCAGCGTTTTCCCGTCTCACGCGATCCTCTTCTTCCCACACAGCCTCATCATTACCCTCTCCCTTAGCCGTCGATACTGCCTTAGGGATACCACTCGCTCCGCTATTCGTCCCCAACACTTGAGGAGACTCACGACTCGTTGCGACCTCGTCAATGATAGTAGTCGTATGGTTCGACGGACTCACCAAATGATCAGCACCATCTCGTGCCGCTGTAGCCCTAGCCGAACCCTCCTTAGTCGACCTAGCTACAGGAATAGCCCCCGGAATACCAGAGGTCGCCGAGACGGGCGTGGCAGTGACAGTCATAGGTGTAGGAGGATGGCCGTCAGTATACCCTTTCTCAACGGTCTCTTCCTTCACCGTTGACGTGGGAATTTTCGTATTCGAACGCATGTCTGAGTACTTAGACAAGACCTGCAAAGAGAGAAGACAATCACAATTCCGCGACACGAGCAGAGCGAATATCGGTATGCGATTTAACACCCCCCCCCCCTATTACCGGTTCAGCACTATAAGTGGGTATTTCATCAGTACGCTGATCTACAGTGCCTCCTGCTGGACGGGCATACAACTTCTGCTTGCCACCTTCCTCAGCCGCATGAGACAGCTGTAACCAACAGCAGCTCAGCGATAACAGTATAATCAGACTGGACAATCTTAATGGCGATACACCCCTCATACCATACAGAAAAACTAGCTTCGAATACTCACCTACATAATACTACTACAACTCAACACATTTACAATGAATGTGAACGTCCACAAGAGGCGTATCCAGAACGCTGCATAATACCTCTGTCGCGCAGTGATATCGGCAGAAACTCAGTGACTATGGCTGACCTTGCGATCCTTCCCAATTGACTTGAATTTGGCTAGCGATGGCCTAAGGCACCACCAAGACGATCCTCTCTCCCTTCACTACTACTATTATTACCGGTTTGGGTTCATGAACTCCCTCACTACATCATCAGTCACCTTAGCCCGAGCCTCTTGGTGAGCCTTAGTCAAGTTCACCAGCTCCTCCACCAAAATGTTCTTCACCTAATACGGCAGCAATCCCCCAACCGCTGACCAGAGCCTTCTTAGTACCTCTCCCGTGAGCAACTTTCCGGAAGAATAATCCTCCCCTATTTGCTTGAACTTCTCATCATCCTCCATAACGTATCTTTAGGTTGCTTGTTGTAAGATTCAAAGTAGGCCCGGAGAACTCACCGAAGATACTCATAGGCCACATCAACCTCAAGATTGGCACCATACTTCCTCTGCTCCTCAGCTGAGTCTTGTCCACCAGAGAAACAATACTTCATAATCTTATTTTTAATCTGCATTAGTGATAGTACTCTCACACTCCCCAGCTCTCCATAGTACCTCCTTCTTGCTATCAGTGACCATAATGGTAGTATTTCCAACGCTACCACTCATCTTCGTCTTGTGGCCTTGCAAGGCCGGGAAGAACTTCGAGTGAATAAGCGCCGGCTTAAGCATACCCATTCGAGGTGCCACATCCCTACCAGATCTCTTCACCAACTAACTAGCACCACCAACCTACCTAGTAACCCGAAAGTAGGGGTCTTGGTCAATGGCCTGGGGGATGAGGCACATGATGTCTTTACGGTCACCAAAGATGGATGGGAAAGTTGTAGAGAAGGAAGGACTAGCTTGGATAGCACAGAAACTAGACTTACCAACACTATCGGAACCTGCCATAATCATCATCACATACTATCCACTCCTACGCCTTAGTCTTCTCCTACCCGTAAAACCGAAAGCCCCTCGTGCTTGATTATAAGTAACTAGCTTTTGAATTTTACACACATTCGGGTACCTACTTATCGAATGACAGCACTACTATGCGTTTTTCGATATTACATAGTTCCCATATAGTCCAAGTCGGAGAAGATGAAGGTCTTGTCCATGTCGAAGCCGCAAGCGATAATGTCCTTGGCATTCTCATAGGCCAATCGATGAGCTTCTTCAAGTGACTACAGTTATGCGAATATCTTGATAGTTCGAGAGTCAACTTCGAGTAATTGCAACATGATGATAATATGAATCGATCGTCAATGTTTCAGAAGCATTCCCTAAACTTTCATTCTCGGAAATCTCTATATGTATAACTGTTGGATGTTTGTGAGTTTGAAGTCCACCGCCGACAACACGGCTTGTTTAGATTCGCATCGATGCATAATAACAGCCCATGAAGGATCAGTTTAAGGCTTTTAAATTGTCCCGCCAAGGAGTGTTGTCCACTCGCATTGCTTGGTTCGCAGAAATCAACTCGCGGAACTCACCAGATAGTCTTTAAAGAAGAACTTCTCATCATCAGTAAGTTGGATAACCAGTGGGACGTCGAAGGTATCCTGTTGGGTACAGACCAATACGGCACACGATATTAAATTGGAGCTCACCTGCAACCACTTGGTGAATTGGAAAGGGACCAAATGTCCGAGATGAAGGGACTCAGAAGAGGGGCCACGACCAGTGTAGAGGTAGAAGGGGATACCTAAAGAGTCTCACTGCAGAGAAACAGTATGACCGACTATATTAATACCTCTCTCATACTTGTCGAGTAAAATACCCAAATCGCGGTGGGAGAAGAAGAGCCCTCTTCTAAGGAAGCGATGTGCCTTCTTCCCAGTCAACTTCTCCATCCTGTCAATGAGTTTCTGGTCAATCGGTGAGCAGCCAAAATCACGGATAAGCTTATCGTAGTCGATCCCCTACAGAAAAATCCTATCATGGCCACCTAAAGTTGAGTGCTAATACCTCATCGCTGCCCTCAACCTCCCAAGGGGTGACCTTCTGACAGTTCGATACTCCCAAAACTCTATTTTGGTCAAGTTGTTCTGCGAGAGTAACGACTATTACGCCCTTGAAATGGTAAGTGATAGTACCATCAGGGACGTAGGGCACCGCAATATCAAGCGAAGGAAGATCCTCAACATTACCATCCTCCTCTGCCATCTCGAAAACATCACAACTAGGTTCCACTGAGGAGACGTCAATGATGAATCGCAACGGATGATGTGCCCACGAGTGAAGGAAATCTCCAAGGTGGCCTTCTTGGCAGAATACTTCCAATGCGTCAGATTCACCTCGCCCAAGAGACCAGTCGACTTGATGATAGGATGGACCTACCGAGGAGTAGGTTTACACTGCAACCCCTTCCCTCTAGCATTACATTGCAGTTGAGGTTCCACTGTTCCAAGTACACCAACCGAAGCTCCTTCACTGACTCGGGGACTTTGAAGCTGTCGTACATGGTGTCGAAGTATTTCCTCTCAGCAAGGTCACGAGGAACTCCAGTGAAAACCTGATGAAAGTGACTGGAGAAAACTACATTGCAAGATGGCCTACCTTGAAAGGCGCATTTTCCTCCACCTTGTTATAAACGTTCGTGGCTATCAACTCCTTCTGCTCCTCCGTGGGTTCTTCCTGAAAAAGGTAGTAGTAGTTAACCGCAAGGACGTAGTAGTACCTTGATCGAGTTCAGAGTGAGCTTACCACCACCTAGATGTGGGGAAACTCTTTCAGTAGTCCGACCAGTAGGAATGCGTAAAACCTGAGGCCGCATCGAGTGTTCTCTGCCCTTTCCCCAACCCTTCTGCATTACCGTGCAAACAGCTCCTTTAATAACGTGCAATGCAGCGTCGAAAGCAGGAGACCTAGTTACAGACATTAGGGGGGAAAGAGGTGAAGGGGGGAAAACACGGAGGAGGAGGAAGCGGTGGAGGGCAGCATCACTGTAGATGTGGGCAGGGTCATGATGCATTTAGTCTAGCATATTCCGTGGCCCCCTTACAACTCGCCAATGTTCATTCCATCGAGGTTATCCAAAAAACTTACATCACTCAGTAACAGTCACTCGCCACGAAATGTAGTCACTCGCCACGGAATTTTCCGGTTGCCAAAAAAAGGGTCCACCCCTCGTAATTTCGCGGCAAGTGACAGTTAGTGAACAACAAACTCACCATTTGAAAGCTCTTTAACATCCAGCTCATCACAAGGGATTTCTTATGGGTGTTTCTGCACGCGGGGGTGTCATGAAGCCGCTGTTCGGTCACGACCCTCGACGAATTGAGGGCTGCCGTGGGATGTCATCCTTCTTGCTGTCGCGAAGAGGGCATGCGATGTGTGGTTGAGGAGGTGAAGTTGGTCACTGAAGTTAACGAAGGGGGACGCTTCGACCACCTTTAGTGAGTACCAAGTCGAAGCCGATACGGCTTTCTCCTATGTGGCAGATTT